CTGAGAAATGAAGCGAGTTCCCTTGGTTGATTAATTCTGAGAGCTTTTGACAACACTAGGCATAGAAACCAGGAGACCTAGCTCCTTTTCTTGTCTCTTAGCACTACACCAGATACCTACCCTTACAATCCAAACTTGACTATGAGGTTTTCTTTGCTCTTTGGTAAAGTAACAAAGAGGTGAAGGTTGCTTTGGCCCACATCTTTTTTTAGTTTTTCTTTCTGGACACCAGTTTGACTGCTTTCTCAATTGCACTGAATACGTTGTTGATCTCCACTGGTAGGACTGTACTGAGACAGGACTGATGGCATTGCTGAGTGCAGTTTTAAAAGAAAAATTAGTAAAATACAGAGGAATTTGGTGATTGCTAATAATAAATCATAAGCTGGAGGTTTGAACAAGAGGGTTTAAGTGTATGTACATTTAAGTACATAGCTTCTAGTTATGAAGGACTGTGAAGGTGGAGATGGCTGTTAAAACGTTTTTTCGGAAAAAAAATCAGCTCTGTTACGTCATCTGGTTTTCGAGGGAGATTTAGGATCTGTGGCTACGCGGTGTAGGAGGGGCCTAAGATCTGTGGACTGCACATGGAAGATTGCTTAAGTTTGGGGCTACAAATTGCAGTTCATCCTCTCCTTTTAACCTAGTAAATTTAGCATGTAATTCCTAGGTGATATATGACCACTGCCTGTGCATCGCCCAATATCTACTCACGTACCTTGAACACTACTTGAAAGCTGAGTGGGGAAATATCTCTTTAGGCCAGTTGTAATGTATAATACAAATTGCTCACTCTCTCTTGCTCTCCCTCCCCATGATTCCCCACTGTTCCATGAGATGAGAATAGTTTTTCTTCCCATCAAACATCTGGTGTCTCCTTCCTTGGAAGTTATTAAGACCAGTTAGGCAGACATTTGGCAGGGATGGTCTAGTCAGAGATGATCCTGCCTGGAACAGGGGGACCTAGGGGGAACTAGACCAAGGTCATCACCTTGTGAGGTCCCTTCCAGCTGTATTTTCCTGTGATCCTATTTATCATGTTAATTCATATTAGGTTCATCCTTATGTTCTACAGAAATTAAAATGACCTGTTGTTCCTGATGAGTAAGTCAAGCTTGCCCTCCATTTCTGTTGTCTACTCCACTCACTGATGGGCAAAGTATCCTTTGGCTACAGGCTCCATTAAAGAAGAACCCAAAGAGAACAACCAAGGTTTATAGAGCATCCCAAATATGCTTTAAAGCAGAGGGAGCAGTAGGGCCTGTGCTCAGTTTCATTGTGGTACTAGGCAGAATATGGAAAAGGAGAAAGAGGAAGTCTGGGAGAAACAAAACTAAGTGGCTCCTGAACAGGAAATCCCTCTTGGCCTGGGCTTTTGAAGTGGTTATATGTGTCAGTTTTCTTTTGTTGCAGGCCTACAGCATTGTGTTGAAATATGCAAAATGCTTTGGCATCAGCAAGTCAGGATTTTGGAATTAATTCAGCAATGAATTAATTAACAGTAGCACAAAGTGCTCCTTTTTCCCCCAGGGCCTGAGAGTACTACCTCCACAGTTCTATCAGGCTTTGCCAACTTCTGAGGCTGATAGAGCAAGCTCTTGCATGGGATCATGTTGTTCTCTGACTGGTCATGGGACTGGTGCATACCCAAGTATGAAAAATTGCATGGTTTTTTAAACTGGATAGGATAAATGCTGAGTAACATGGGAGGATCGAGCCTCTGACAGTAAGCATTAAACATGTGAAGGTTTTTTATTTCAAAATAAGAATCTTTCATGGACCACCTTTTTCATAGCCAACTTTTTGATAGAAATATTTTGTTTGCCTCTTCAGTGGCATGGCAAATATTGGCTTTAGTAGGAGGGGCTTTTTAATTCTGAAAAGTAGAAACCACAACTGAATAGAAATAATTACTTCGGTGTATCATCTCTCATCCAAAGAAAGCTTTCCTCAGGGTAACTTTGTGAAGAGAAGGAGTTCTGCTCACTGCTGATTGCAACCACCGCTTCGCATGGGAACAATTCTGCTGCAGCTGCAGTACACACTTCTGATTTCAAGGGGATATTAAACTTAATACATCTTTACAGGCTACAGATTAAATAGGAACAGGCAAAATGTAATTACCTGAGTTGGTATGAGCCCTGCTTCTGTCTCATGTCATGAGAGCTAGCTAAGTTCAGACAGGGTTCTGTTATGGGGGGGAGAGGCTGTTTTGAGTATGTACATATTTACCACTACACCAGACCCCAGTGTTCTTGCACAACTGTATTTTGTTTTTACTCTTGGCTCCAAACTATCCTGTTATTTAGATTTTTCTTTTTAATTTTAATTTTGTTTGAATGTATTGCTAATGACAGATGGCAGTTTGCACATCATGGGGACTGAGGTCTATCCCAGCAGGTAGAGCTTAAGATGAGCTTCTGCATGACTGCCAATATTCTTTTACCTTAACCTAGAGTGGTTGTCTGTAGGGGGGAAACCTGGTTTAGTTTCCATGGCCAATTCATTACTAAGCATATGGTGGTGACTTTCTCATCAGCACTTGCCAGCTCACAAAGGCTATTAAACAACTCTCAGTTTTTTATAACTTTTTAGTTGCTACCAACTTAGGCTAGGTTTGTCCCAGCAAATTAGAGAGTGAAAGTTTCCTGTGTGTGCACCATTTTTCAGTTTCTTAAGTCATGCTAATTGTTCTTTGTTACCTTTCTCAAAAGGATCGTGGAGTTAGTAGCAGTTTGTTCCAGAACCCAGCAAAGCTCCATCTGACTCTTGGGACACTGGTACTGCTGAATGAGCAAGAGATCCAGAAGGCTTGTGAAATCCTGCAGAGATGTAAAGAGGACTTTATTGAGTGAGTAAAATAACAGCATGGTTGGCATTGGGCATGGTCACCAAGTTCAGATATTTGAAGAATCAAACTGGTTTTATGATAAGAGTACCTGTATTGCAGGGAAGAATGGCTCAATAATTTGGTGCAGTTCTGCACTGATTGATTTACCTCTGAGATTTATAAAGATGCTGAAACATTTCAAACAAAAACTGTAAGATTACTCAGCTGTAAGCCAAGGCAAGAATTGTGTTTTGCAGTTAAGAGCAAACACTTAGGATTCTTGCTCTGTTACTAGAAACCTCTGCTAGCTATTTCCTTTTCTCACAGCAGTGCCCGTTATTTTTCTGTGAACAGTTTTTTTTTTTCCCTCTGCCTGCCACAAAAGCAGGAAGAACTCAGTTGCTTTAATGCTTTGTCTGTAGCACTCTCAAGCAAATAGCCTCCCCTCTGCCTCAGAATAGATGCTAATACATCCCTGAAATGCATTTCCTGACACAAGTGGTTCTGTGAGAAAACATTTAACACAGGATGAAATGTATAAGTAATCAGTATGACACAGGAGTATTAATGCTCTAATAGTATTTCATTCCCAGTGTAAAGTCATAATATCTGATGTTTAACTCTAAACTTGGTCTAATTGGACTCGATGATCCTGCAAGGTCCCTTCCAGCCCTACTGTCTATGATATCTATGTAATAGGGGCTATAATCAGATTATCTCAGTATAGTTCAGTAATATTAGCTAGCTGCGGGGAGAGGGATATTTTTTTTTCCTTCTACACAATTTTTGAAAGGACTTTTGGCATATAGATTTTTTTTTTTCCATGACTGTATAGGAATTCGCCAAGTAGATCCTTCTAATATCTTTGGGAACTCTGCATGGCTAAACTTCTATTCTGCTTTTAAAAATGGAGGTTACAGTCTTTTATATTTGACAGAAATAAAAGTTGTATAATTAAATCATTGTGGACTTTAAAGTTTTGGCATTACATCATAAGGGCTGCCATCTTCTTTGTAAATAGGTCAACTATGATAGAGACCCTTTTCTACAAATTATCATTGAATGGAAGAGCATTCCAATTCAAATATTTTCTCTAAATTACTTTGCCTTACTATTACATACTTTTCCCCTCCCAATGAGATGAAGATTCTTTCCATCCTTCTCAGTCCCTTCAGAGGGAAGGCAGCAACCTCTGTGAAATAAATAAGTTTTACCTTCTTCATTGTTAAAAAGAATACGCTATTTCTTATGTTTTGATAAGGCTTATAGATACTTAAAAATCACTTATTCACTGTAATTTAAATAATATTTTAAGTGCACTTTGAAATATTCTTATATTTTGTTGACACATTAAAATGATAGCAGCTTTTCAAACCATACACCAGAATACAGAAAAGTTTCCCTCTAAATGATCTTTAAATGTATGGAAAATTGTGTTTTACATTTCTGTGTGAAATTAGCTGACATGCAGAAGACCATCCTTGAGGCCTGGTCATGATATCAGTGCCATTTAAAATTTAGGCTTTTTAATTATAGCAAGTTTATTTAAACAAAAAAAATCAGTTGAACAAACTGAAGCTATTTTATTTATCTTCTGCTAGTAAAACCCAAATAATTAGCATTTGGATGAAATTACCATATTTTCTCACATACCACACCCCCCTATCTATAATATGTCCCTCACTTTTTAAAGGCAGCCTGAAGTAAAAAAAAAAACTTCCTTTGTGGTAACTGAGTAGCAGAAGCTAAAGAGCCAAGTCTGCTTGTGAGCTGTTGCTAGCTCTGCACGATGGATAGAGTCTGTGGACTGACCTGATGTGGGGAGTTTGGGACCACCCACTGGGTCTGGCCATGAAGCCCTGTGTGCCAGCCTGATCTAGCATGTGGGGCCATGTCATGTGGCTGGGGGGCTTTCCATGGGTCCAGAAATTTGGTGTGGGGAAGTACTGGCAACATGAATTGTCCTGGTTCCCAGGGCCAAATCTCAGGACTCTCAGGGATCCCTATTTCTCACATATAATGCACACCCCAGTTTTCTACCAGCTGGTTTTCTGGGAAAAAGACATGGGGTATGAGCATGAGAATATGGTATTTTGGAGAAAATTACAGAGCTGGATTGCGTGAAGCACCTCAAGAACCACATCATCCTATGAAGGGAAATTTCCCTATTTGGAAAAGAAAATAATTCTTGAATAGACATGAACATATATAGATGTTTGCTTTCTTGTAGGTGTGTGGGGGCTAATATAGATTCTCTATTTTCAGGAGTATTTTCTGAATTCATAAAAAATAGGTGGGATAGATAAAAGGATGCTATTTGTTGGTCAAATATCTAATGCTCGAGCTTTCAGGCCTTAAAGGTCCCAAAATCAGTTGTTGAAGAACTACACACGTTCATTTACAAAGAATGTACTTATGGGTTTTTGTTTTGTTTTTTGCAGGGGAATGGGGAGGCCACACAGTGGGGCCTGCAGAGGCAAATCAAGGCAGTAATTTTACCTTATGAACAGATGCAACTTTTAACTGATTTAAAAAGGGAGACGAGGGGAGCTGGCCCTCGCATGCATTAGCTATTATGATGCAACTGTTATGTGTGCATGTTGCTTTAGGGATACAAATGAGCTAAATCCCTTGGAACTTTAACCTTGAATGAAACGGTGTTAAATGTTTGCTGTACCTGCATTGCTAATGGGAGCACAGTTATATCCTAACTGCTTATACCCATTTCATATGATACTGGTACAGTGGTTACATTTGTCTGTAACTTTTGATGCAGCATGTGCAACTGTGAAAGCTAACACAGCAGAGCAGCAAATTTCCAGGTCCTTAGAGGGAAGGAAGCTATTATGTTCTTGGAACTTCAGCGAATATGAGGATGAGACAAATTACATTTGATGATTTAGGCTATGAATTTGGGGCCCAGCTAGCATTTTTACTAGCGCCTCTGCTTGACTTCTTCATGATCTGTGGAGTTTGCTAAAAAGTTGAATAAGGCTAAATGCAAGAAACACTAAAACCATGCGTTCATCTAATTATGTTCACAATGTCTAAGGTGTTTCGGCTTGGGTTTTTTTAAGACTGTATATTTTTTTCCAGCAAAATTATTGGAGGCAAACCCCTCCCTGTGGAGATGACAGGGATAGAATACATGAATGATGACCCTGCCATGATGGATGTTCTTTATGCAAAAGTCTGCATGAAAGATGGATCAGACAAGTGAGTTCCCTGTGCTTTCCCTGTGTTTGTTCAACAGTAATGTGCAGTCAGTATCCAAGGAAGCAATAACGTACTAAAGAAAATCTAGTCCTTTAAATTGGTAGGCACTGCCGAGAGCATCTAATTATCTAGAAGATGAAGTACTCCTCTCTCTAGCCCAGTTAAATTAAGCTGTGATATGTTTGCTCTTTACATCTATCTCTAGTGGTGTTGCTAAAAGATATCATTTGTTTTTTGTCATTCTTACTATCTGAATAATCTAGTTGCAGAAGGCAAGCTCATGCTCTTTCATATTAGTGAGAAAAACTGTACTTTGTGTGCAAAATGATTAATTCCTTAATGTCCAGCTCCCAGCTTGTAAACTGGATCCAATCACATAAATTAATCTGTATGCTCTGACAGGTCCTGAAAATTTAAGTAGTATTAAAATGCAGTTATCTTGGTTACCCTTATGATTGTGAAGACGACCTGATGGGAGAGTTAGCCTCTGGGTTTGTAGGCAACCTGAAACATTGCCCTGAGCAGTGTGCAGTATTCCTGTGCTTACTAGTGAGTAGGACACCCTGAACCTTTCTGATAGAACACTGAGTGTTATAATTTTTATTCATAGTGTCAATCATTTTAGCAAAAATAATCTCCTAACATGTTTGCCTGTTATTGAGTATAATGGCAAAGGCAATGGTGCTGGGGGCAGCCTTTCCCATTGTGTTTTAGAAGGGCATTATTGACCATGAAAGATCTCCTCAGTGCTTTTCTCTCTGCAAATGTCTCGATCTACCCTCTCATTGAGTCTCTTCTAATACAGTATGGGAAAGATGCATAAGCTGCTGTGTTTCCCTGCCTCATGTTTATGAGAGGAGCAGGGAGTAGAGAAGGTGTTTGTTTTCCACGCCATTAGGCAGCATCCCTTTGTCATCATTCCTTGTCACATTGTACAATGAGGAACCAAAATGGGGAGCTGGGAGAGAGAGACAGGAAGCAGTGTCTTGGAGAAAGGAGGAAGAAGTTAATTCTGAGCAATGGGTTCAACTGTGAAAGCAGGATCTGTTCTCAGAAATATCCCTTGCATAGGCAAATAGGGCTCCCTAAACTTTGCAAGGAAAATTACCCTTGGGTTTCAGATTCGATAGGAACTGGATGGGGTATAAGGTGTAAAGCTCAGAGTAGGAGACACTAGGAGTTGAGATTAGCCCCCCCTTTCAAATTTGAAGACTTGAAGTCAGTTGTGCCCCAGAAGAAGGGAGAGGAAAGGGAAAGAATTTCTAGTAGAAGTATAAACCAACAAGGAGACAGAAGGAAAATGACAAGAGAAATAAGGAAGACCCCCATAGAAAGAGGAGAGGATAGGGGAACCAAAACAAAAATTGGTGGTACCCAAATGCCCTTCACTATATTTTAGCTGGTTGACAGTTGACTATGAAAACTGCTAAAAGGCTAGTTATTGGCTGGAGTCTATCCCCTACTCTTGATCTTTGTCAGGGTCTGATAATTTTGGATTATATAGAAATTGATGCTTTGCTGTGCTAGAGAGTCTAAATTTACATTTGGAAATAAGTCTCTGACCTAAGTGTCTGCTAAAGAAATCCTTTAAAATGCAAACAGAGTGTAAAATGATGCCATGATGTCTGCTTGAGTCTGGAGACAGGTTGCAGTGATAGGTACAAACACTTCAGTCAGATAATTTAGATGTCAGTATTCTCTATTGCACTGAGGGCTCACTTAAGAGTAGCATCTACCTGAAGTGACTGTTTGTAGGGTCCTACTTAAATTGCCATGAGACGAAGGGTTTTTTGCAGCTTGATTGTGGTGGGCAGAGGCAATTTCTCAGGTATTTTATGTCGGTCCTGCCCCTCGCTACTGATTGGGGGAGGGGTCCCGGCAGCCCCATCCCTTACTGCTGATTGGCCAAGAGGCAAAACCATATATTTAAATAGCAAATTCTGCAGACTAGCATATAAATTACCATATTATTGTAAATCCAAGTATTAAATTTAAATATATTATGAATATAAATATATACACAATGTTAATTGTAACTTATATCTTCATAATTTATTATTAGCATTCTACAAAAAGTTTAGAAATACTAACTAATGATAACCTTGATAGAAACAATTCATGTTAATTGTTAAATACTACCATGCAGCATCCACTGGCAGTTGCAGTTGACATTCTCTGTCTCTGCGGTGTGAACACTTGTCTTTTACACTGAGATAGCACATTCTGTGTCCACTGAATTGGTTGTAATGGTAAGGCAGTGTTTTGCCAAGTTGTAGAGATGTGGAAACCAATCTGACACAGACTCCCAAAACGCAGTCACAGTAAAAGGCATCAGGTGTTTTTTGACAAAGTATATCTAAGCAGCACATTTGTTGTCATGTTCTTTCTGCCATCCGGGGATTGATTCAAGTAGCAGAGGATCAAAACTCAGAAAAGGCACCCGATACGGGTAAAAAATGTGAACAGCACTAAAAAAGGAGGCAGCCAGTAGTTTAAACCAAGGTGGTAGTGACTGTACCTGCAATACCAATTCACCTTGGCAGTTATTGCCTGAAACAGTTCTTGTCTCCACTGGTTTTCACTTCGACAGTTTGAAAGTTGTTGTGATGCCATGTCTTCAACCCAGCTTATCAAATCCATCAGCTTGTTGTGTGCTTGGTGAATCAAAGCCTGCCAACTTTCAAACTATGTTAGAAGCTTCAGGAATCAGATTGCATTTTCAGCTACAAATGTACTTGATCTTTAATGTTCCCGTTTTAAGAGATCATGTAGTTTAAGCATACACTGTATTCTGGGTTCGATTTCAAGCTCAGTCATCATGGTAATGAACTACGTTAAACCACAAATTCCACCTTGTAAGCACTGGTTCTGGTAGAAGTGACACAGTTGGATTTAGATCCTTGCTTTGATTGTGAATACAGTGAATTCCCTGTACCCAAGTTTATGGCCTGGACAATGTTTGAATGCTTTTTTAAAAGAGGAAACCAGTCTATCCACATCAGGAAAATGCATGCGCGAGATATCACTTAGTAAAGAAAGAATGTGTACATTGTAGGTAACATGAATTTGTGTTGGGCATCATTCTGGAGAGTGAATCAGAGAAAGCTTTGCACGTATACATTGAATTACCAGAAAGAAAGGCTGAGATCTTGTTAAATTCTAAGCTATAGTTTATAATAGCCTTTACTACAGTTTGTGCTACAGTTGAAATATTTATAGAAACAAGTTGAACTGGTTCTGTTTGAAAAACAGACAGGTCTGGGTCTTCCAGCTCCCAGGTACAAATAAAATGTGGAGAACATAGTTATCCTGGGCATCTGTTGCTTTGTCTGCTACAATCAAAACTGATTTTTATTTTGCCAATTCAGATTTTGCAGACTAAACGTGAATAATCATGGCAAAGTTTGTTTGCACATGGGAAACTTCCAGCACGTGCTTGTTAAAGTAGTCCCTTAATTTTGGGTTATCAATTTTCTTCAGAGGTATGTTGGCAGCCGTGAATGCCTCTACTAGCTTGAAAGTAGTTTCTTTTCTTGTTAAACTGCTTTCAGTGGTTCTTTTAAACATTGAGCACATCGTTATTTGTTTCTTGCTCTGACCTTCAGCCTCTGCAGAAGTCTTTCACTTTGTATGCAATTTGGACTCTAAATGCTGATCAATGCTGTTTTTTCTCAATGCATCCAAAGTCATGTTGCAAGATTAATAAAACAATTTACCACCATGAGATGCAAATTTCCTACAGGGGGCTGCATTACATGATCCTGAGATGAAATATATGTTGCTATTTTGGATTTCTTTTCACTCATCTTCAGACAGCGGCATTGCTGCATTGCATCTAGCTTCTTAAAAAATGGCACCAAAACACTTTGCTTTCCTGACTGGTGCCTTCACTTAGTTCAGTGGTCTCCAACCTTTTTAAGTAGGAGATCACTTTTGGAATTTAAAAGCAACCCAAGATCTACCCTCCTTCCTGCCCAGCAGGTAAGTCTGTGGGGAGGGAAGGTGGGGGGACAGATTGAGGAGGAGGAAGATAAAATTATTTGGGAGCATGCCCCCCCAGTAGGTAAGTCTGTGGGTGGAGGGGGAAGGTCTCCAGCCCCTCCCCCCAATGGGGGGGAGGGGGGGGGAGGGGGGCGGGAGCAGGGGCAGGTCCTGCCCCGCTGGGTCCGGGCATGGGATGGAGCCATAAGCAGGTCATCTGGAGGGCGCACAGCCCAGGTGGGCATGGGGGGGGGGGCGTGTGCTCCCAGATCTGCATGTGGGGTGATGCGGGCTGCAGCTGCGGGCTGGGCCTGGGCTCTTCCTGGTGGGGGTGCTGAGCCATGTTGTGCTCAGGTTGGGTGGTGCCAGTGGCGGCACTGGGAGAGGTTTGGGGGGCCTACGGCAAATTCTCAGGTGGCTGCAGACCCCGTGTAGCCCCATTCCCAGCACTGCTGCCACCCAGCCCAGCCCAAGTGCAGTGCAGCCCAGTA